CTCCCTCCTCCTCCCTCGTACCTCCTCCCTCCCTCCCTCCTCCCTCCTCCCTCCTCCTCCCTCCATCAATCGGAAGGCCACGATCGCGCAAGGCTGAACGATGGACGCGGCGCCGGTCGCCAACGCCAGCGTCATTCGAGTAGGGTATCGACCACAGAGTTGATTTACCCCAGAATTTATTTTCTCGTCGACTCTACGGAGAACTATTTTGATTTCCAGTAGGTTTGCGAAACACCCACGTGTTCCTCGTAGATTCGATGGTGAAAATCAACTTTGGGGCAAATCGATTCTCTAGTCGATCCCCTACTCGAGTCATCGGGACGTGAGACTTGCCGCACCTCGTGGGCGGAGCCTCAGCCTGGAGCGGGGCCGACTCGAGCCCTCCGGCCGCCTGGGCGGCGCGGGGCCGGCTGGAGGCAGAAGCCGATCGGAATTTCGCGGGAGCTTCCTCACCGTGGCCGGGCTCTGGATCTGTCCCGCTCTGGGCTCGGGGGCGGCGACGAGGGGGTGATGATTACCAGTGGGGAAGGATATCATGGCGGGGGCCATGACATCCCCACAGATTTCGTGGCGCCGCTTCTTATTTCAATACGTACCTGGCCCCCTCCCTGGGCCGCGCGCATGCCCCTGGCCATGATTTGCGCACCCGCCCCCTCTTGGACGCCCCCCTCTTGGCCGCTCCCGAAACGACGAGGGGGGGACGGCCAGATGGGGGGACGCATCGATCCACGATCGCCACTTCACCGCCGACGAGGGCCCGAGATAGCCCCAACCTGCCCAGGACCCTATCTGGGAGGCCTGGCTCCTCCTCCTCCTCCTCCTCCTCCCCCTCCTCCTCCTCCTCCTCCTCCTCCTCCTCCTCCTCCTTCTCCTCCTCCTCCTCTTGTGCCAGACCCCCCGCATCGTTGCCCCTCGTGGGCTGCGGCGATCGTGCTCGCACTGCTGCGACCGCCGTGGAGTGAACCTCGCCGAAGGGGGAGGTTCGAGCCTCGAGGATCGAGGGTCTGGCTCTCGGGCGTTTCTGGGGAGCCTTCCTGGGCGCCCGCGAGGCCACTGCTGGATCCACTTGGGCACGGTTGCCAGAGCGCACTCCAGGACAGGTCCTGGCGCCGATGTTCTGGAGGAGCAGTTGACCTCGCGGCCCAGGGCTGGACCTGAGCGCTACGTCGCAGGACCTTCGGCCGTGCTCTGTCTTTCGCTCCGGCAGGGAGCTGCAGGTAAAAACAGGTCGAGCAAAGCGAACAGCAAGACGAAAGCAGCACGCAGAGCAACGTTTTGATTCAGCCCTGCCTGACATCCTGGTCAGGAAGCCTGCTCGTGGCCGAGGCTCGCCGCGGCCGGAAGGGCACCTCCGTGTCTTGCTCTGCGTTCCGGATGGCAGCATGATGACCGATGTCGCCGAGCTGGGCTCAGAAGGGAGCCCTCCTCCTCCCTCCTCCTCCCTCCTCCTCCTCCCTCCTCCTCCTCCTCCTCCTCCTCCTCCTCCTCCTCCTCCTCCTCCTCCATCATCCTCTCCCCTCCTCCTCTTCCTCCTCCTCCTCCTCCTCCTCCTCCTCCTCCTCCCTCCTCCTCCTCCTCCTCCTCCTCCTCCTCCTCCTCCTCCCTCCTCCTCCTCCTCCTCCTCCTCCTCCTCCTCCTCCTCCCTCCTCCTCCTCCTCCTCCTCCTCCTCCTCCTCCTCCTCCTCCTCTCCTCCTCCTCCTCCTCCTCCCCCTCCTCCTCTCCTCCTCCTCCTCCTCCTCCTCCTCCTCCTCCTCCTCCTCCATCATCCCTCCTCCTCCTCCTCCTCCTCCCCTCCTCTCCTCCTCCTCCTCCCTCCTCCTCCTCCTATCCTCCTCCTCCTCCTCCTCCTCCTCCTCCTCCTCCTCCTCCTCCTCCTCCTCCTCCTCCTCCTCCTCTCCTCCTCCTCCTCCTCCTCCTCCTCCTCCTCCTCCTCCTCCTCCTCCTCCTCCTCTCTCCCTCCTCCTCCTCTTCCTCCTCCTCCGCCTCCTCCTCCTCCTCCTCTCCTCCTCCTCCTCCTCCTCCTCCTCCTCCTTCTCTCCTCCTCCCGGTCGTGCCTCAATCCCCAGCAACAACAAACCGCAGAAGGTGTTTCTCGATTCCCTGACCCCCGTGATTACGCCGGTCGTTTTCGCTCCCGCTCTCTGGCTGGTGCGCAACCAGGGACTGCAGTCGATTGCGACGCCGGTCAAGGCGGAGGAGGCGGAGGAGGAGGAGGAGGAGGAGGGCCTCTCCTCCCCATCATCCTTCTTTCTCTCCCCGCTCCTCCGAGTCCTCCCCTGCCCCCGCTTGGGCGCGCGCGAGGCCCACCCCTGCATCATACAGTCGAGACGCGGGAGTGAGGACCGCTTCAGGCTGAGAAGGGGCTTTCGGGTTTTCGGGCCGCTTCGTAGATCTACGTTCATGTCGGGCGTGTCCCCCTACAGGGGGATTCTCGACGAAAAATAAAAATACCCCAAAAATATTCCAAAAAGGTCAAACAAATATTCAAAAAATAGTCCACAGACTATGTTTGGACTATTCTTTGATAATTGTTGGGGTATTTTTTATTTTTCGTCGAAAATCCCCCTGTAGGGGGACAGGCCCGACTTAAATCGACGTCGTGGAACCAGTTTGTGGCCAAGGCCCGCCCTGGCCAGAGGAGCCCCTTTCGTTCCGCAGTGTGCGCCCTCTGTGGTAGCACGACGGCTGTAGGGTCCCTCGGGGGTGGACAGAAGCCCCACCATGACACGTCGATCCGTGAATTGTCCGTTTTCGGTTCTCGAGAGGGCGCCGCGGCCGTCAGTTCCCAGGCTTGCGCCCGCCAGGTTTGGGCCCGCGGACGCGTTCACTGAGCCACGTTCTGCTGAAGGGGGGCTTTCTGTCCATCCCCGAGTCCTGGAATCCCCGTCCTCTCCCGCCTCCTCTCCCCATGCGCTCCCCCCCGGCCCCCCGGCAAGGCTCATATCGATTCCTCCGATTCGATTCGATTCGATGCCGATGGGTTCCGATTTCGATTCGATTCGACTTCGGATTCCGATTTGGGTTCCGATGTCTCAATAAAGCATTACAACTCTGCCGATTTTCGCCGATCCGACTCCTCCAGACTCGGCTGCCGACTTCCACCGATCCGATTAATTTCGATCGCCGATTCGGCTTATCGATTCGATTTAGGGCTCTCCTGCCCCGGCACCGCCCCCATCCTGCCGACCCACCGACCTGCAGACTATGGCATCCACAACGACTGGGTGCCCACGGAGTGGGTGCTGCCGTTCGACGTCGACGTGGCGCCCCGGCGCCGGGCACCGGCGAGGACGGCGTCGACGACCACCGCGGCGTGGACCACGACGACGACGATGGCGTTATGTCGGGCTTGTCCCCCTACAGGGGGATTTTCGACGAAAAATAAAGAATGCCCCAAAAATACCGCATTTTTTGTTGATCAACAAATCCCAAAAAAATAGTCCCCAGACTATGTTTGGATTATGTGTTGATTGTTTTGGGGTTATGTTTTATTTTTCGTCGAAAATCCCCCTGTAGGGTGACAGGCCCGACATAACGATGGCGCTTATCGCAGTCAGGGCGCTGAGATGAGAGCCACGTCGGGCCGTAAGGAGGGGCTCTGGCGTCTGGGCCGTTCCTCAGGTCTGGGTCGGGGCACGGGTTCTTTGGCCGATGCTCGCCGCAGCCAGAAGAGCCTCCTCCTCCCTCCTCCTCCTCCTCCTCCTCCTCCTCCTCCTCCTCCTCCTCCTCCTCCTCCTCCTCCTCCTCCTCCTCCCCCTCCTCCTCCTCCTCCTCGTCCCCCCCTTCGACTTAGCGTTCCTTACTGCAGCAGCCCGACTGTGCCGCGGTCACGATGGCAGCGTCAATGACGACGACCACGACGCCGAAAGTAACGACCGCCATCACGACGAGGACCGCGAGGCTCAGCGGCAGGGGCAGGGCCAATTGGCAGGGCCAGGTGGCAAGGGCTCCCCTCACTCCTCATTCTCCCTCCACCTCCTCCCTTGCTGCTTCTCCCTCCTCCAGAGGCTGAGCGGCGGGAGGGGAGAAGGTGGGAGCGGAGGAACTTGGGGAGGGAGAAGACGAGGGGGAGGCGAGGGGCCGAGAGATCAGGGCGGGGCAGAGGCGCGAGAGTGCGAAGACGGTGCGAACTTAGGAGACCTCGGTAAGCGATCGCTTTGCGAATCCGACTGTTTTGCCGTACGCCCACTGGCGGATTCGATGCGGGAAATAGCTGATCCCAGAGGTTTGCGTTTTGGGTTGTTTTTTTCAGATCCCCCGGGGAGGGAATGTGCAAGGAAGGACGTGAGAGGATGAGCATGCGTTTCGGATACCATGTGATGCTTACCAGTTGCCCAGCTTTAAGAATTAGAGAAAAGTGTCCCAACCCTTCTGCGTTGGGTTATCGTTCACACTGGAGCAGCGTAGTCTCCAACCTTCTCCTCATCCTTATCCTCCTCCTCTTTCTCCTCCCATGCTTGCCTCCTACCTCCTACTTCATCATCCTTTCTGCCCTACCTGAGGGCTGCAAATTGTAAACTTGCCGCCATGTTGGAGGGATTCTGGGAGATCCAGCTGAGCGGTGTCACACGCAGACCCAGATTAAACCTTCCCGACTTCTGGGGCTGCGAACTGCGCAACCGTCGCGATATTCGCGGGCTCATGGGAGGTCCAGTAGAGTGGTGTCCCGCGCAGATTTGGATTAGACCTCGCCGGACCTTGGGGGCCGCGAACTGCACAATTGTCGCCACGTTCGTGGGCATCTGCGAGGTCCGTCAGAGTGGTGTCCCACGCAGACCCAGATGAGACCTCGCCGTCCCTGGGGGGGCTGCGAACTGCCCACTTGTCGCCACGTTCGTCCGTAACCGTTTCGGCTCAAGCCTATTTGGCTCAAGCATGTGCTTCAAGATGTTCGGTTGTTAAGGTGTCGATATTGTTGAGTCCCTCTCGATGTGGCAGGATATGCACGTGTTACTGACAATCGGAGCGGCCTGCCTTCTTTCCATGTGTGGCATATGCGCCGCATCCGATGGTGTCCCAGCTGGGCAGCGCAGAATCGTAGCCATCACGGCGCCACCATGTGGGGGCGCTGGCACACAGTCGCCCAACATCGTGCATGCTTTGGGCGTCCCTCATCTCGACTGTGGTGCCATCTTGCGCGAAGCCGCGGCGTCGGGCACTGAACTCGGCCTGGAGGCCAAGAGGCACATGGATTCGGGCGGGTTCGTGCCAGACAACATCGTCGAAGGGATAGTTGCCGAACGCATGAGGCAGCCTGATTGCGCCAAGGGCGTGTTGTTGGACGGGTTCCCGCGGAACTTGCATCAAGCGGCTTTCCTCGATGCGATGCTCGCCGAAAGCGGGGAGGCTGTGACTGATATGGTGACCATTGCTGTTCCGAAGGCAGGTCTGCAGGAGTGTGTATTGGGTCGATGGGGCGCTTCGAATGGCAACAGTTACAACTCTCGCTTCATCGGTGGCCGCCGTCCAAAGAGTTTGCCGCTTGGAGCGACGCCCGTCTGCGATCCAAAGGACCTTGAGCACTGCAACATGCGTGACGACGACACAGGCGAGCCCTTGGCACATAGAAGCGACGACAATCTGAACACCTTGGACAAGCGCCTGAAAGAGTACCATTCGCAGACCAAGCCCATCTTGGCACATTACAAGCGGGTTCTCATCTCCGTTGACGGGAACAGGCCTGAGCCAGAGGTTTGGGCAGACATTGCGGCTGGCCTCGGAGTGCCCGCCTCTGCGGGCATCGACATGGGCTACTTCACGAAAAGTCCTGGCGTTTCGGCGATGCGCCTCCAGGAGAGTGGTCCAACAGTTTTGGTACATGTTTCCACCATCATGTTGCTCGCACCAGGTGCGTTGGGTTTCGTTGCCATCGTGATATTGGTGCGGTGCTCGCGCACGCCAGGGCGTGACGTGGAGTACGCGCCACCAGATTATCGCCCCTTCCCTTCGTCTGCGAGTTGATCCCGAATGTTGTCTTCGAGTTTCGTTGACGACGAGCTGGAATATGATAGTGTATTGACGAGGTTGGGTTTTGATTGATTTGTTGACAAAAAATGGCGCGCAAGATGTTCCATGCGACAGCTGTATGAATTTTGAGGTGTAGCCGACTATCTTCATATCCATTGCGTAAAGCTAGAAAGAAATCGGCATCACCTTCGAGGGCCTCTGGGAGGTCCAGCGCAGTGGTGTCCGACGCAGATCCAGATAAAACCCTTGCCGTCCCCTGAGGGCTGCGACCTGCGCAATAAATCGTCATCATGTTCGTGGGCCTCTGGGAGGTCCAGCGGAGTGACGTCGCCGTCCCCTAGGGGCTGCGAACTGCATAATTGTCGCCATTTCCGTGGGCCTCCCGGAGCGCGCCGTCTTTGGGGGGGGGCTGCGAGCTGCACACTTGCGACCTCTTTCGCGGGCGCCCGGGAGGTCCAGCGCAGTGGTGTCCAACGCAGGCTCAAGCGGGACCTCGCCGATCTTTGGGGGGCTGCGAACAGCGCAATCGTCGTCATGCTCGTGGGCCCCTGGGAGGTCCGGCGGAGTGGCGTCCCACGAAGACCCAGACTAGACTTCGCCGTCCCATGGGGGCTGCGAACTGCACAATGTCGCTACTTCCGTGGGCCTCTGGAAGGGAGCTCGCCGTCCTTGGGGCGGTTGCGAGCTGCGCGATTGCGACCACTTTCGTCGGCTTCTGGGAGGTCCATCGCGGCGGTGCCCCACGCAGGCTCGAGCGGGACCTCGCCGACCTTTTCAGGGTGCTGCGAACTACGCGAGTTCACGTTCGTGGGCCCCTGAGTAGCCCAGCTGGGTGGGGCCCCACGTAGACCCCAGCAGGAGCGGCGTCCCACGCAGACACGAGCTGGACGTCGCCCTCGTTGGGTGGATGCTGACTGGGCAGCCGCCGCCACGCTCGTGGGCCTCCGGGAGGTCCAGCTGAGTGGTGTCCCGCGCAGACCCAGGCGGGGCTTCGCTCTCCTTGGTGGGTCGTGGACTCGGCGAGGGTCGCGACTGTCGCGGGTCTCTGCGAGGTCCAGCGGAGAGGTGTCCCACGCAGGCCCAGCCAGATCTCGCCATCTCTGTGGGCTGCGAAGTGCGCAACCGTCGCCACTGCTGTGGTCCTCTGGGAGGCCATGCGTCAATCAAGTCAGCTTCCCATACAGCTTTCGCCACACATCGCGTTTCCAGTCACGCCATCAGGCGCAGCCAGTTTGTTCACTGGTCTCGTCGCCTGTTGCAGGTGGGCTCGGAACGTCGCATGTACAGTCGACCCGCATAGCAATGATGGGCAACCTTCCCGAGAGTACCCTTGCATCCTTGCCTACTCGGTCCATCCTTGGCCACACTCGCTCGAAAAACGCCAATCCGGCCGTCCAAGGCCCTTGCATCCGTACCGCGCAGCCGTATGATACGAGCCGTCGGTCACGTGCCATCCGTGAAACTACCGAACTAGTAGTTGTTGTAGTTGCACAACGAATCGACTAGTAGTGAACTACAACTACTGGACTTTA